GAAAAAACCATCGTGACCTTGAAGTAACCTTCAAAATTGACCTCAAGGTCAAAACCAATGGTACAATTGAATGACCCCCTCTGTCCTGGTCAACTTTTATCTAAACCATTTTTTTGTAGATACCGTAATTTGGAAGATATTCGGATCCATAGACTAAAATGACTCACCCTGTATATATGAAATAAAATTTCTTATTACACAAAGTTTAATAAAATTATATATTTAGTTTTATGATCAAATGACAAAATTAACAACTCTATGACTCTATTAACAACTCTAACTAATTAGCTAATAAAAAAATAAACTATCTATTTTTTTAATAGTATTACAACGCGTTTAATATAACCAATAGTTTTTTTTATAATAAGAGTTAATAATTGCAAAAATAAAATTTTTTCGCATTATACACAAAGATTAATTATAGTTATTTTCTTTTCCTTAGTGTACATTATCTTTTTATATATATTTTTCCAATAAATTCAAGTATCTCTCTTGCATATTTATATTTTTCTCATAGTAAAGCTGCCTCTGTTTATATAATTTTTCCATCCATATAAATTGCTTATTTTTTCTTTGAAGTGGTTTAATACAACATGTCACAGCATGCGAAATATCAGACAGTGTACTGTCATTTTCATCATTTAAATTTTTTTTATGTGAATTTGATTGCCTTATTCTAAAACCCTTTGTACTTGAGGTAATGGATACAGGTTCTGTCTCTGATTTGGTGTGTTCAAAAAATCATCAATTATATCAAAATATTTCCAATATTCTCTACCTCTATTTGATTATTTGCATCTTTTATATTATGATATCTTCGTTTTAAATTTTTCCATTTAACAGCGCATAGTTCATATATTATTTTATAACCTTCTCTATTAAAATTGCTTACTATTTTTTTCCATATTTCTTTGTGCATGCAATTTTTATTATTGAATAATGACATGTATGATTTCATTTTTTCTATTAAAAGTTTAGTTGCCTCTTTCATCCATTGAAATTTACAGATTTCTGTAAAATAATAGTATGATTAAAATAATTATATAACATTCTTTCATAATAACACAATGAGAGGAACGTAACAAAATATAGAAAAAATTAAAAAAATAAAATATAAATTTTTTTGTTCGAAAAATGTTAAATTTCATAATATACATACCAAATCGATGTTTATCAATTGTTGCATCTCCACTTGTATTCATTTTGGTTTTGTTAAACTCAAAGCTTCGTTACATCTAAAAAAAATATTATTTTTATTGACTTTGTTATCGAATAAAATTCAGTGAGAAGTAAGGTTATGTATAATTTTTATATAGAACATTCATTAGTAAAGGTATCATTATTCTGTTCATATATATTTAAAGGAAAATAGAAGATGTTACTAAATTAAATAATTAAGTGCACATACCTACTTTTATATTTTTATTCTATTTTAAATCTCTGAAGAATGTAAACTTGTTTTATCCCTTGTCCTGATGTTCTGATTCAATCCGATTAATGCAGAGACATCCGATTAATGCCGACCACGGATCCGATCAATCTAGGGAATTCTTTTAAATTAAGCATTTGAGTCCCACTGCCTGATCCGATTGAAAATCCGACTAGTTGTCGTAAACATCCTAAGTGTACTCTGTTATTAATTTGCTTACTGAGATCCAGTAAGTCTCGAATTCATTTTCTTGAACATTCTGCATATAGAGTGCAGTATCAAAACTAGTAATACAAGCAGGAAGGGAGCGAAATGAAATTTTACATGGAAAAAATCAGTAAAAACTGTAGAATAAAAATTTTTTATACGAAGCTTCATTTTCCAGGAAAACATCTTTGAATATTCACTCGGTGTGTCAGCACTTAACTGTATCTGGATTCAACTCTCCTCGTTTTACGCAGTCTTTATAGGCAATTGTATTTATAAACACTATCAGTAACAAGACTTTTAATATTAGTTTGCTAGTTTGAAGTCTGTGTCATTGTCATGGCCACTTTAATTTATGACGTCAGAAACGAAAAAATGCACGTTAAAAATTCTTGTAAAATACATAAAAAAAAATGCATCCATAAAATGACACTTGCAATCGATCGAGCAAATTTGCAAAATATTTCATACACTCATTTTATTCTAACAATCAATAAATAATTGTAAAATTAACGTTATAAAATGATAATTTAAAATGGTAGGTTAAAAAGATAAATTGTGTTAAGTAAATTTTACGACAATTTATAAAGTGTTAGAGCAAAAAGAAAGCGTCTGAACTATTTAACAGATATATCGATTGCAAGTGTCATTTTATGGATATATTTTTTTTATTTTAATGTATTTTGTAAAAATTTTTATCACATACCTCTGACGTCATTAATTGAGAGTTCTGTGGTGATCACGAGTCTTATAACTCTCCGTCTCTATTTTTCTATCGATATGGCTACAATCGAGAGTATACAGACATGATTCTTACACTAAATATATGTGGCAGCAACGTTTTTGTTGTAGCTAATTACTATCAAGTTCGATATCCTAATTATCGACATCCAGATAAACAGATTATTTAAAGAACAAAATGAACAATCACAAAATACAGTTTATTTGACTCACTTCTTCGACATGGTAGTCGATTTTGCCAAATAACTAAGATTAACTGAGAATATAGTTTAATCTAGAAGAATAAAAACTTGAGAGTTAAACTAGCAGAACTGATACAAAAAATATCTTGCTATTGACAATATTTATAAATACAAACGAATATAGAAACGACATATAACGAAGGCAACTGAGTCCAGATGTAGCTAAGTATTCGTGCACCAGACGAACATACAAAGTTATTTTTTTTAACACTCATATAAAAAATTTTTATTGAACATTTTCTATTTATTTTGACTTGTAGTATCACCCCCCTCCTCTCCTGCTCTCCTATTTATATTAGTAGTTATAAAACAGCCTGTGTGTATTAAATTATATTGAGTGTACAACTTAGTTCGGTCCGTTTTCAAAAAATGGCTCTAGGTGCTATAAATGGTTGACGGCGACAGCTGATTTTTGCTGTATCGTGAAGTGTCAACATCTGTCAACCAAATATTGTTTACAAGCCTTTGAGTTTTGCACAACAAGTTTAATTTTTACTGCGTTGAAAATGTCGAGTTTCGTTCCAAATAAGCACCATTTGCGGGAAGTTTTGATTTTCTGTTTCAATTGGAAGAAAAGTGCAGCTGAAGCGCATCGAATGCTTGTGGAAGTTTATGGTGAATCTGCACCGTCGGATAAATCTTGCAGAGAATGGTTTCGACGATTTCAAAGTGGTGATTTTAGTGTTGAAGACAAA